CATTTCTTCCTTAACGGATTCCTGGCCCAATTGCATTTCTTCCTTAACGGAGTTGACGGCCCCTTCCATCTTTTCTTGGAAAGCAGCAAATGCTGTCATCATTTGCCTGAATTGTTCTTCCATCGCTCTTGTTATTGGCATTCAAACCCCACTCCTGACACCAAAAATTGTTGCGTGCGTACGGTTCGTTATGAAATGAATGCACAAGTCTGATGAAAAATGAACAAAAATTTATTATTATCACAACAAAAATGCTTAAATTTTCTCAAATTATCATGCAGTATTACAATATCTCACAGTAGTTATCTTCTAACTACTCAAATGTCCAATAGAACGTAATTCTAAAAGAGCGAATTCGCTACAATCAACAAGAGCAGTTTTCTAAACAACAACAACTAAGCAACTACTACAAACTGAGATGTTTTCCTCCTTTTATAAGATTTTAAAATCACGCGCTAGAATTTTCCAGTACTTTCTCGAAATAAAAAAGAGATATTTATTTATTTAATGCACGCGCTCTTGTATTTTCAATTTTCTGGCTTAGCTTTCTTTTAATATTCGTCACGCGCTGCACTGCGCGAGAAATAAAACCATTTAATTTATAATTGAACTAACATTAGCTTTTTAAATACCAAATTCGTAACACTATATAACATTTGTTTGTTTGTCTCATTAACATTATTTTAATATGGGTATGTTTAATGTTCAGCATTGTATTTATCACAGACAAAAACAAAGTACCTTTACGTATTTCGTGGGGTAGATTTTCGATTATGAAGTCAGAGCTTTTTAAACTGGTTAATTCTGCAATAGAATTTTCCATCGACGTTCTCCTTCTGTGGGATAAATTAGTTTTGGTTGTTTACATTAACCGTGATACATACCTTCTCCAGTCTACGTGGTTAATTTCAATAATATTTAATATTTATGATAATTTTTTCCTGTAATTTCTGCTTCTCCTATAATCTTTAGCAGAATATTAATTAAGTGATATTTAAATACCAATGAAATGTATGAACCGTTTATCTAGTGTTTTGAGATGATTTTGATGAGTGATTTATGCTTAGAGGTCGAGAACAGGTTGAAACGGGCTGTAGAGATGTTAAAGCTAGTTAGTTATTGGGAAAAGAATTCTTTTCTTCCTCATTGTGTGCCTTTGTGGCACTATTAGAAGTACGCCCGGCTAGAAAGTTTGAATATCAGCAAGGGCATCCTTGACTGCCTCATGTTTCATGTTCCGAAATAATATAAATCTCTCTACAGACCGACTAAAATGTAAGGCACGCTAATTCATTACCACCTAGATTAGGCGACTCTCTTCCCTTACTTTTCAGATGGGGGGAGGGGAATATTAAACATTCTTCTTTTCTCACCACCTCCTTTATAGTATAACTATGTTCAAGTGAGAAATAGCTGATTTCTTCTATTTCCTATTTTGTTAAATATATGTCAGCTGTACAGTTGAGATGTAAATATTTAAGCATTTTATATTCACAAGATCACATAAGAAACAGTGGATACGTTTTGTTAGCCCAGAAGGGCTATTAATTTCGTTTTGGCATTTTGCATTGATTCACTATAAACGGAGACTCAGCTTTTAAGTTGTTGCCACCAAATATTAGAACCTGTGTAATATTTAAAGAAGCTAAGTAAGGAAAAATCTGCATAAATGTACGCATGTTTCTTGCACTGGGATAAAACAACGGCATCTAGAGCCCTCAAATTTTGAATAACGTACTTCTCTACTCGAATATGAGCATCTGGAAGCCCAAATTTGGAATTTGTTTTATTAATTTTTCCATATTTTGTGAAGTATTTATGAGTTTTTGAATAAAAACTCAACAATTTCAAAGCGAACAATGGCAAAACTGTACAAAAAAAAAAAAAAAATTATATCCAGTGCACGAGACTGTGTATTGGAAATTCTAAAGATATGCTCTTTTAAATATTTCGTGATATTGCTCTTCAGTTGAATATTATGGTTTAAGTGCAAAGAACACGATATTTAATAAATAAAAGTAACACACAAACCATTAAAAAATGTCCCTTTGGGTCTAATATAAAATTTGAAAGCTTTTAGATTTTAATTTTTTTAGTTATTTGTGACATTCAGTTTAAATTTTACTAACACTTATTTTTAATTACTTTCCTTTATACTTATTCAGTGCATAGGTTTCTACTACATTTACGTTATCCTTATTCAGTATATAGGTTTCCAAGTGCTCATATTCAGTTGAGGTTTTCTATTCGATCCAGAGAGTGTTCTTGCTTCGCATAGAGCCTGCTGATATTTGTAAGCCAGCTTATGTACTGTTGATGAACAGCGAGTAGCTATGGACAAGAAGTTAAATAAATTTTTTGTGTTAATTCAGTTGTTATTCTGCTAGGCTTGAGGGAGAAAGTTTTAAGTTAATTTTTACCTTTTGAATCGTGGCTACGGTGAATATTAAGGATGAGCAATAATTAGTGCAGTATTTTCTAAATATATCCGTTAGGGGCAAGCAATAACTTGAATTAATTAGCCAAGCACGTTTAGGTGTTATATATTTATTAGTATTAGTGTTCATAAACTAGCTTTGATTTTATATACCTCAAGTTCGAGAGAAAAAACGGGAAACTATTTAGGTTTAACCTTACAAATGTGCTTGTATGCGATCTCAATTTAAAATTATCAGGCTGAAACGTCATTCAATCGTAATGTTTGGGATATATTTAACTTTAAATCTCTCAGCAAAAGACAAAAATGCGAAGTTTCATCAAAAACAGCAACAGCTTTAACATATATTTTTCAAAAAAAGATTATCTGAATGCTGCAGATAATAAATGTATTGCTATGAGCACCCGTACAATCTTCAGAATGGAGGCAAATGTCGGTGATATTTGTAAACTCTAAATATAGTATTTTAATAAGATTTCCTATGAAAATTTTATGCAAAGTATTTATTTGAAAAGAGTTTTTTTATTTGGCTATTCTTAGTATTTATTTATTTCGTTAAATTTACTGAAATTCGATGACGAGAAGACTAATCAAAAAAGAAAACAAAATATATGGGGTGGGTAGAAAAACTTGATACCTTTTGAAATGAAATAACGCAGTAAATACACAGAACTAATTCCCTATTCGCATTTCGTCTTTACAGTTTACGTCATTACTGGAAAATAAGTGCAATTAGAAATTTTACCATTAAAGTTTTGAAAATGAAGTCTTCCAAATGTCGTTCTGTTCAGTCTATATACTGCTTCTCGATCCGTATACTACTGCCACCCTGATGGGTATGACAGCGATGATACCTGCAAAAAGTTGGTCCTAGTTACGAATCAGGATGTGGCATGGATGTTTAGTGTATGTCTGCCATAGGGGGGTACTTATAATGGCGATACTTAAAATAAGTCTTCTTGAATGGTTTAATGGTGGGAGACCTTCGGATCTTTACTTCAGTGTGTTCCGTATCAGTACTGGGGCAGCGCTACATAGTTAGTGACCTACACAACGAATAGTGAAATTCTGGTGTCTTCAGCCATTTCTTCCAGTCTGGTTCATAATCTGCTCGAATTTATAAGCAAAAATTCGCACAAGCTCACAAATGTCTATTATACTCACAGCAGGTTGTAGTATGGTGTGAAATGTCAAAGTTTGGGGTGATCCACCGTTAATTATGTGAATAAAGTAATCGGGTAATAAGAGTGAATGTAGAATAACAAACCACAATAACACAGAACTTCCTTACTCCAGAACAGAACAACGATATTGAAGTGCAAAAAACGACGGTAATCTGTGATTTTGACAGGATAGAGAAATTCTTCACTCGGCTAGGAACTAGACAGAAGTATTTCGACATTTTAGGGTCAGGGCAGAAGTATTCAGACAAGAATTGAATAAAAATATTCCTGGACACTTTACCTTCTGACGTGACCCTCATATGATTATCCCGAGCACTTGGTTTTCAGCTTGCAGTTTTTAAATAAGGGGCTAATGAAAATAGAGAATATGCATCGGAAAATCATGTTACTTAACCTAACTGAAGACCCTTTACTGAACTTAAGGTGACTGACTGCCAATCGACAGAAACGCTGCGAGACGCAAAACCGTGAACTGTAACTATGTGACTGTAAAACTGTGAAGCTAATCATGCATGCATACAAAGGAGTTCTTAGTATCAGCTGTGCTATTTCGTTTCAAAGCCGTTAAATTTTTCTGCCTCATCCTGTATAAAAAGCAGGAAAATGTATACTGTTATGAATTTTGTATACACGTGAATAATTTTAGTGAAATGATAAATAAACCGCAATATCTCTTGTATAATGTAGTATCATTATACAAGGCCTTTTACAATGGCCTTTTACAAGGCCTCAGAATGTGAAGGATCGCCAAAAAATAGGGTTAAAGGGTTAAGCCCATTTAAAGTAAATGGATACATTAAAGTAAATGGATATCTCACAATCGCCAAGCTGGCAATGATTTTGGCGATTACTTTTGGTTTCCAAATTCGGCAAAAATCAACAAAAGTCGCCATGTTCAGCGACCACTTGCGATATTTTGGTCCGAACTCTGTGTAACTGTAACTAGTTCGATCTTTCTGTAATTTTAACTATATACGGCCGTATGTAACTGTGTGTATGCAGTTTCGAGAAATCGAAGGTACTGAAAATTTCTCGGCGGATAAGAAAAAACTATACATGGCCGGAGAGAACTTCAGTTTACAGTTTAGCTCCGAGTATTGAGAGTTCAGAGAACTTAGGCATTTGAAGCTGTTTGCATTGCCTTGTGTTTATCGCTCTTAATAATTTGAAGTAGTTACTACTCATTGTGCTCTGTCATACTGGTAAGAGTACTACAAGAACATTTTTGTGGAAAGTTCCAGAATAGTAAATTATTTTTGGAAAAATAAATTTCGTCAAGCTTTCATTGGTTCTGCATGCATTCAACCCATTACGGACCCGTGTGCATGTAATAATATGATTTATAGAGAAAGATTAAAATTTATAAAAATTTCACTTACCCATGATGCTGAGGGACACCTCTCTTCGAGCAGCCCGACTGCGATTGTTTTCAGCTATGCAGCGATACTGTCCCTCATCGCGTGACCGCTGAACGTCTTCAATTGTCAAAGTTCCATTTGGGTATGTTCTTTGGCGATGATTGTGAGGAAGTGCTCGCCCCTCTGTTGCAACAACAAAAAAATTATCGTCAGCGAAATCATCATAAAAGTTTTAAAAAATCTACAAAGAAGATATTAAAATTTGTACAAAATGCCTATATAATTCATTAATGCTTAACATTTTCTCAGAATTAATATAACCGCATTTGATAGAGCTGAAATTTAAATAAATACTAATATCTGTGATTCAGACGTTGTGCACATCAAATTTTCAAAAATTGCAAAAATTCTAAAGTAAATATTTATGTCAAATTGTTTAATTTGATGATACCATTGTGCTGTAAATGTTATACAGATGAGTTCTTCCCAAGTAAAACGAATTTTTATGATTTAGCGTAATTCGGAAGGTTTCTTATAGAAAAGTTGTTGAAACTCTTAAAGAGACTTTTCCAAACTTGGCAATATGATATCGAAACACTAAAAATGTTTACTATAAAGAAATGAAGCGGGTACTCATTTCTTTCATATTGGACAAAATGGACAATAACTGAATAAAATAAGAATATTAACAATAAAAAATAGCGGAGATAAAATCTTAACCACCAAGTGTTAATAAGAAATTAAATAACTAAATAAATAAGAAAAATAAATAAGAAAAAAGTGTTAACCACCAAAAAAGCGTGGAAAAATGTAGCAACACAATCAAATTTATGGGTTACGAAATAATGCTGAATCATAAAATTTCGTTTTGCTCGGAAAATCTCATTGCCATCTTGCATTAAACAGACGGTTTTCAAAGTCAACAATAGAAAACTGTATTTTACAACTGAAATTTAGCAGTATAGGAGTATCAATTATTGAAGCAATTTGCCTAATAGCCAGTTTGGAATTTTCACTAGTTTTGATAAAGTTTATGTGCGCAACTTGGATCGCCCGAGAAAAATACGATGAGAATGAAATATAAATATGATAAGAATGATAAATGAAAGACATAAAAACTTTATTTGCATAATTTAACTCCTCCTTTACGAGGGGTGTATCATATATGCATCAGCAGCTAATCATCTTAGCAGCAGCTTAGAGCAATTCACCTTGGAGACGGTATGTTGTTGCAGTAGTACGATATCTAAGACGGGGTAATTCGCAACGCTAAGCTTAAAAAAATTAATTAAAAATATTTTTTATCAATCGTTTTTATTTTCTTTGTAATAACATCAATAATAAGTATAAAATATCAAGAGATTCTAAAAAAAGTTTAATTAAAATCTAAATGCAAAATATAATCTTTCACTCATCTTGATGAAATGTAAAAAAGTTACTTAAATCTATGTCTAAACATACGTAAAAAATAATAAAATATTTCATTAAACTACCAGTATCAAACATCATGATATGATTACTGATAACAGTTCTCCAACACGAAAGCCAGAAATATAAATTTTTATAACAGTACAAAGACAGGCTTTTATACTGGTGATCAAATGTGCTCCTTGTATTCAGAAATAATTTTAAATGTATCCTAGTATTCTAGATGTTACCAAGTATCAAGAAATAGTTATAGATGGCCATTTATGATATTTTTCGAAATGCTGAATATACTTGGAATTAATGTTTATGTGAGTTATAGTTAAAATATTTCTAAAAATTAAAAACGATGCCACTATTTCATAGAAATGTGATTGGAATTGGTGAGAAATCACGTAAAAGAAAGGTAGTCAAATCCTTCTTTAAAAAATACTTTGTAAAGTGTGCGTTATAAATTGTTTGTGATTCACAAGGTGTAAAATAACGCCGCACTCAGTGTTTGTTACAAACTGACATATAAACACTGGGTTACGGTTTCGTACAGTCTCAAGGTGAGATTGGTTGTTTTTTTGCTGAGTGTTCAAGACCAAAAAAACGGATAAACAAAGAATATTTGTCATGCCTGAGAGAAACGTCTCTGTGCAGAACATACGGCAATTAAATAATACTTTAATTATTGTCCATAGAAAATGTAGTATGATGGTTCCGTACCAGTAATTGAATTTTTAATGATATTTTGTATACTTTTAAACATAAATTAATGATTTATCTAAAACTGTTGATATATCAGATGAATTTTGTTTTTCCAAATTCATCAGTTCAAATTTCAAATAAAAATTTTGAACTAATAATATTACTTTCATATTGTAAAACTAAATTAAAATATGTTTGCCATTTAATAGCTTTATGATTTTCATTTCTTGTATTTTATGCTTGTTGATGGTTTGGGTGTGTTAGTTATTACGTCACATTAAAAGCATAGGAAAAATAGTCGCATTAACACTAAGTTAACCGTGAATTAATCTTACCATGCTGGGACATTTCTTATAATTCCGATGAAAAGATGTCAAGTTAAGGGCGGAAGATAAGAATTAAAACAAATATAAAATATGCAAAATCTTTACAGCATAGTCTGAACCATGTTTGTTCAATGAATCCACAAAAATATGATCCCTAATCATTTCACAAGACAGAAGATCTATGTTTCAATCATCAAAGCTGAAGAAGCTGTTGATGGCGGAAGAATACTTTGCACAGAATTCGGTGTGACAGTGTTTTTCAACAAGGTTTCAAGCGTTAGAAATTTGTAGAGTCTTTTGGTTATATCGATGCAGGTAATTTGAAAAATGTGCATTGCATTTGCTAGGATTCAAACACCAGACCTTCCGATTACGCGTCAGACGTGCACGCGGAAAGAAGGCAGAAAATACCTTATATACGCCCCCTTAAAAAATGGCAATTGGGGATGATAGGACCCAGTGGTAAAATCCTGGTAGTGACGCATCATCATCCACATCTTTTAGTTCGGGCGCCACTTGTAGAGACATTAGTTTATATCGATGCAGAAAACAGGAAAAGTATACTATGCTCTAGCCGGGATTCGAACACCGGACCTATCGATTGCGCATCGGATGTGGTATCTAATTACATCATGAAGGCACGCAGGGGAGAAAATACCTTTTAAATTTATTAACATTCTTCAAGAAGAATAAATTTAGGCTTATTGATTAATACTAGGTTGGAATAACTAATATTTAACTATTTTATGGAACCTGAAACTATGTAACACCAACATAGTTTATGAATCGCCACTGAGAGTTGGTGTTACCTCACAACAACGTATTTATTATCTTTTTATTCTTTCCTCTGATAGCTACGGATCGTAAATTTTGAGGTTAGTGTTAATAGTACAGTTCATCCAACTTTATTTCTTCTCTTTGATCCCAGCTGCGTGAATTCCTTTTGAGGTATGGTTCAACAGAAAGGTTTATTTTGCCTTTCTGTGGCACCTCATTGATCTTAATGAAGTGTCAGCGGTTTCTTTTGAGCAATTCACTAGTCAGTGCCAATTAACTTTCTTCACTTCTAACCCGAAAGAGCACTGCAGGGGGATTTGATATCGCTCCCTTTTCAGTGTGGGAACGCCGTGTGTATCATTCTTTTTTCCTCTCTTTTGCTCCGGTAGCTTTTTCCGGTCGGAATTTCCCTTATGCTCTCTGCCCCCCCCCTCCTCAGATATATTTCTTTTCTAAGGTAGGAAAGTACAATTTTTTTCTGTATTCTCGGTGCCTTGTTTAAAGTATTGACCTTTCGACTTTCTCTGATTCGTCCAATATGGGAAAGTTTTGGATGTGATTTTGTCACTAGAACTTATGTGTGTTCAGAAACTTTTATTCTTGATATTTTTCTTCAGTCCACACCTTCTAGATGTTACCGTTCTTTAGTATTTTTTCGACATACATCTCCTACATTCTGAAAGATCAGGATTATTTATTTACCATCCAATCTTCTTTCTTTTAACTGTTAATAATAATCAGAAACTTAATTTTTAAGGGATGGTGAATACATTCGAAACTTCGGGAGTAATAAACAAGTGTTTCTGCAACTCCACTTTCATTAGAAGTCGTTGATGCAATTCATATAAGTAAATACAAAATTTGTTTATTTCATTGAATGGGAAAATCTATCAAAGATGTCTTATCTGTTAAAGGGATACCGTCATAGAGGACGTTTTAAGGAAAAATGGCCAATACTTATATATTTTACAAGGGAAACCATCAAAACAACTATGTAGCCAGTCCTTTTCCCTAGATCCACCTACCAACCATTCACTCCGTTGGATGGCATTCAAGTCAAGGTCCAAATACCAGTATTCAGCGCTTTTAACTGCTCCACAACTGGTTGAGGTAAACAGCAAAATATATTTAGCAAGAGAGCTGCACCTTTAATGAAACTTAAAATTTTGTTTCAGTGGGGAGACTGATGATTCACTAATCTATTAATCTGTATCTTTATTCGCTATCTTTGTATATTTATTTGCTTGCATAGTATGTTAAAGAATAAAAGTTCTATATTTAATTAAATCTTCCTGATGCTTTATGTGATTACATTCGTTTTGTGAAAACACGACCTTCAGACTAAGAAATCATCTCGTAGTTAATTGGCACCAAGCATAATATTTATAATGATGAGTGTTGTAATAATTTACATTTAGGTTTGTATATGAATGAAAGTACTCGGAACTACTAATACATGGTCTAAGAATCCAAGTTTCAGGAGGGCATAGAGGTAGTTATAATCTTGTATTTTATCTTAAAAATAAGGAAAATGATCACTGAGCTTCTTTGAAAGAACGAATCATTTAGTTCTCCAGTCAGTCTTAATTGGGCCCCATTTACTACCTTAGTAAAACTATAAAAAAACCATTCTCTAAAAGGCAAATTAAACACATTCCTTCTTAATTATTAGTTAGAATTAATGCGTATGACACCGTTTCAGTTCTTTTCTTTTAATTTATAGTAGGAGAATTCTCATTATTCTGGAAACGATCAGAGTAATGGATTCCATTATGCATTCTCCATCCAAAGGATGGGAGATTTCTATTCTTCATTTATAATGAGGGATAATTCCATTCCAGAATTCTAATCCGTAAATGGAGTTTATTCTTCTGAAATTTTGGATGTCCATTTGAAGGTAGAATTTAAAAATGTAACAGCCACTGAAGATAATTCTTTTTTTTTTCAGGATACAACATAGGACAGGACAAGCCATAAATGTGTTGCAGAAAATTAGTGGGTCGTAGTAGAACATCTTCCATAAAGCCCAGATCACGTAAGTTTTAAGAGGCCGCAAGTTTAGCGCGTGCTAAGAACTGAAAGTTGCCACATTTGTTGTTTTCACTGACTTTCAGAAAATAAACTGCCACGCATGTTTGAAAAAACTGAGTGTCTGGAAACGGTATGCGTCTAGAAACGTTATGGTGCATCTCTGAAAACGGCGTATACTGTGTAAATGCCCCTGCTTTTGGAAATGAAATCCACACTGACCTTTCTTTGTCTTGAGCTCCGTAAAACAATACAATACTTCGGGAAGAATCTTCGTGTGCAGGCAAGCCTCCACATTTATTCAACGTCAAGTGTGTTCACTGCGACCTCTGAATGACAAGGCGAAATTGACGGCTACAACCGGTTTCTCCTCCTTCTGCTGTTGAGCGCCGAAGGTGTAGGACGGCCTTCTGGCTGTTCTCACCTCGGCTAAAGCGTGTGCCATTTTTTGTTCTTTTTCGTCCTTTTTTTGTCTGCCGTCTCCGTTGCTGGATATAGAGTCATGGTATTCCTTCTAGTAAAGAAAGTGGAACTGAAGATACAACTCAAAAGATCGATATATCTAACATCTGTCGATAATGAATAATGTTCTACAATTTGAAAATCTTCGAAAGGACTTCATGTGCACGTGCTAGAACTTTTCGGATGATATAAGTATTCGCCTTGTGCTTCTTCAAAAATATATTGGAATAACCAGCTAACTCAATTTCCGCCGTTAAAAAATTTGATTCTTTTTTATCACGAAACTTTGCTTTACGCCGATGGAATGAGATGTACTTTGATTGGAATATTACGCACATCTCGTACGAGAGGTTAGGATTCAAAATGTAGGACTATTATTCTTCTGTCTGGCGATATCTACTTAATTTATGCTGGTACTGATTCAAAATTTAATGATGTCAAGATATAATAAATATTAATTGATTTGTATTATTTGAATTGTAATCCTTTGGAGGTAAGTTATTTTGATTTCCTATTTCTCTTTAGATTACACATTTCCATCTGCGCATTTTCAAGTATTCTGGCTTATTGCATTATTTTTTTGCTACACTTCGTAAACTAGATTTCTGACACTCTACACTTAAAGAACTACCAGACTTTCAGCAGTACTTCTTGGGTCTACACCAAACATCTAGCCATACGTCTTGGGTACGCTAATTATTAAAACAATAAATGATTGTGATGATTCTTTGTAGCAAAACATTTCTTTCTATACATGTGTTTTTATTGTTATTCTGATGATAACGTACTGTTTGTTATTTTGATATTTTCCGTTTATAACGATTTACATTTAAAGAAGAAATAAATAAACAAAACTAGCTTCTAAATTTAAATTTGAGGTGACTTTTAATTTTGCTCAACAATAAAAATTTAATTTCACGGGTTGGAAGCAGTAGACATTACATTTATTTGAAGAGAGAAGTGAAATACTCGCGCAGTGTTTTTCCAAATTTTGTTCAAATTTTATAATTTAAAAATTTTGTTTTCATTATCATTTTTCTCCATGGGGTTAGATCGCAATCTGAGTTTTTTAGATGACAAGTTTTCCGTTTTATTTTATTTGTTCTTATAAGAAAATATTGTGAAAAGTATCGGAAAGTCTTCCAAATATTAAGGAAAAAAAGTTTTATAATCATTCCTTTGTTATATAACAAATTCCACTGTTTCATAATTAGATCAAACTTTGAGCTGCATCATAAAGTGAAAAAAACAGCAATTCTTTCAGATTCTTGTCAATAAATAAAAGTACTTAGTACGCTTTATCTTCGCGAATTACTTCTATTTTCAGATTAGCTGTAGCTTCCTGTATAAATCAAATCGAAATTAGTTTGTTTCCCTTGGTATGTTTTTGTCTTCTTACGAAGAAACCCCATACATCAATATACTTCTATTTTCTTTCTAAACACAGTAAATCGTATTCTCAAGACGCAGATTGAATTTGCTAATGAACCATGGCAATGATGCAATTTATTCATCGGAAGCCAACGTTAAGGTTTAATGAAATTATTTCTCCAAATTACTTTTTGGAATGCATGTATTTTGCCCACTACTTTCGGCAATTAGAGAAGCAAGATCTGGAACTCTAGTTAGGTTACCTAACTTCGAAAACAAAGTTGTTATTCAGAAAGAATAAATTGAACCTTTCTTTATTTCGATGTTAGAAATAAAATTACCGTGTAACATAATATAGATATTGTTAAAGAAGGCTGAAAAGTAAATTAACCTAATATGAAAAATTTTAAGAAGAAAACTAAAATCAAGTTAATATATTTTTTACTAAGAGCTAAGTGAAGTTTTTGGTCTTGAAAAAAATATATTTTACTAATTACATTTTTAAGCTTTTAAATCATAACTCTTGGAGAAATGTGTTGAAGAAAATTTTGTATGGTTAATCCAAGACATATAAAAAATCAGTAAACATTTAAAAAATTTATTTTTCAACGAATTTTTAATGCCGATGACCGTTATTTGACATTATATGCACGCAGGAATAGAACGGCTACTCCGACTCTTGTTAGATCCTTCCTTTCTGCAGCCACCGGAAGGTTGAAGGTTAGTGTCAACGTCAACTGTGCGTAGAAGGTTCACGAAGGTGGTCTGTTTGGTGTGGGAGGTGGTGTGCGAGACGACCAGCTATTTGCGTGCCGCTCTCGTCACGCCATAGGAGGGACCGTTTGAAGTAGGCACGACAACATGTCCACTGAACGCCTGATCAGTGGAGGGCTGTTCTCTTTACGGATGAGTCCAGGTTTAGTCTAGAAAGCGATAGTAGGCTTTATTTGATATGGAGAGAACCTGGAACCCGTTACGATCTGTCAAACATCCGTTAAAGAGATGCATACGGAAGAGGCAGTGTCTGTGTTTGGGGTGGCATCTCTTTGGGTGGACGCACAGACCTCCATGTCTTTCCAACGGAAACTGTGAATGCTCCGGTTTATAGAGATGACATCCTTGATGCTTATGTGCGGTCATGTGCCGGGGCAATAGGTGATGCTTTCCTGTTACAGGATGATAACGCAAGACCACACAGGGCTCGCATCGTAGATGATTATCTTAAACTGGAAACAATTATGCGCATGGAGTGGCCAGCTCGATCCCCGGACTTGAATCCTATCGAGCAAGTTTGGCATGCTTTAGAGACACGTCTAGCTGCTCTCAATCCGCCCCCTCAGACCCTTGCTGCTTCCTATGAAAGTGATAGACCGTATAATTGAAAGCATCACGCATCGCTGTATGTGCTGTACTGCTTCGAGAGGCGACCATATTCCATATTGAAGGTACTTTTCCTGTAGCAAACTGACACCTTCGATTTGTTCATTTTATACATCTGCTAATTTCTATACTACCATAATTGTCTGGTAATTTATTTTTATGTTATTTGATACCTTACTATATGTTGTATATCGTGGGTAAGTTTCATAAATTTCTACATGTAACGTTTTCAGTAATCGTGATTTTTGTGATTTTTCCTTAATTTATGATAATCAGTGTAAATATAAGTACTTAACCCTTCGCTTCTCTTCTGAGAAATGTAACCTAACAAAGCATTTTGAGTTTCACTCGGGAAGTTGGGGGAGGGGAGAAGATTGCTCTCGCGAATCTCATAATTCAGAATAAATGCTTAAACTACAAGTTGGTGATAAAGCTTTTAAACAGGTTTGGATAATCAAAATAGTTTCGTCGGATCATTTCGAACATATCGGTTTTGTATGTAAATTTACATAAATATTTGTACATACTACGTTACATGAAAAAGTTCCCTTTGTCTGTAGCATTATGTTTCAATTATTTATTTGTACTCTTTCGCTTTCAAAGTTTGTAAATTAATTTTGAACTTATTGTATACTAGATAAGTTACTAAATAAGATTAATATTTTATCGTAGTTACTTTATTTAATAGGGAATACAATTATGTAAACGGAGAATAGCTAATTACTACGTGAGATCTTGTATGAGTCAGCCATGTAACCTAATGCAATTGTCTAATTTATCATCTAATTATGTGAAATATAGGAAATCTTTGTTATCTATCATGTAATCTTTTGTGAATAAAAATACTGTGAAATACGAAAGAAAAAAGTTAGATTTGTCTCCACCTAATGCCGATAACTTGCGTGAAATATTATGTTTTTCTGAGCATAAAAACGTTATGTTAATGAGCAGGTAAAACAGATCCACAGAAAATGCCTCACTAAAAAGTGGCAAATACTTTTGCTCATAAAATCGGTTATCATTTCTCAGTCAAGAAGAGAAATAAAAAGGAATCTACCTATTTCTCTAGGAAGGCAAGTTATTTTCAGATTCTCCCAGAGTATTAATTAGATTTAAAACTAGCCAGTCATAAGTGCTTCTTTTTCATTTAAATTTCACTATTCTTGATGTTTACAATAATTTCACAAACACACACTGATTATCGGAAGCAAGAGGAATAAAATCAGCAGCTCTGCTTTATTAGCTACATACCTCTTTCCCAATAAATCTTCGTTATAGGATATCCAGAAACCGGACAGTGAATAGTAACACTTTGTCCAGTCAGTGCTGTGATGTTTCTCATGTGTCTAATGAAAGGGGGTCCAAAAACATTAAGGCGCCTTGAATGACTAATGGCTCGAACTCCGTTCTGTGCCACACACTGGTACGTTCCACTGTCTTCCACAGTAATACTGGAGACATTGACGTAACTGTTGACAGTCCTTTCGTCACTCACGTAATCGCCCACTCGAATATGGTACGCTTCGGGAACTGGATATCCATCCACTGTCCACGTCACTTGCGGCAAGGGATTGCCAGATGCGGAACACTTCAAAGACACCGACGAACCAGGATGAACAGCTTGCTCTGAGAAGGCGTAAGTGAAGACAGGAGCTTCCTCTAATATATTTCAAGAGAAATATTATAGAAGATAACCACTAAGCATCTTTAAAATATTAAAGAAAGTAAACACCATATCCACAAAAGTCCTTACTTGGCCTTTATTATGCCAAACATTGGTCCCAGACATACACTTTCATTTACTAAAATGTTTTGAATGGCGTATATAGTCATGTTTTGAATTTTTTATTATCAAGAAATCAGTTTTTTAAAAATTATGATATTTAACTCTTTCTACGTACCTCTGATTCTTAAATTTATATTTAAGAAAATTTTGTACTAATTTTTAAACAATAAAATAAAAAAAAAACGGGAGAAAATATAAAAGAGTAGAATAATGAGCCAAATGACTGAAAAAGATGATCCAAATATGAAAAATACGACAAAAACAGGCCGAAATATTTGATTTCAAAATTTGCAATTTTTGACATCACATTCAGTTGTATATAGAGGCCATTCAATGATATTGTTCTGAAATTAACTAATTTAGTGACAATCTTGTTTAAGTGCCTTTAATTTATAATTCTGTTACATGTGGTATGCCGAAAGAATTTTCACACAGATAATTTATAAGTTATTTACATTTGTATAAAGTTTTATTACTTTAGAATCCTAATCTGGTAATCTTACAGAAATTCATCAAAGTACAAATATCTTTAATTTTAATTAATTTAAATAGTATTAAGAGTTAGCTGAGTGCCAATATTGAACTTGGCAGTGTTTTCTAGAATACGAATTCTATAAGATTATATGAATATGATCTTCATTTCGAACAAAATTATATTGACCAATACTTTTCATGACAATCTGCATGTAAATGTTTGCCACTTAATCTCTTAACACCAGAAACCGTTTTACAAATTGTTATTTCAGTTTTATTTATATAGGCCTGAAAAAAATTTCACTCTTCAATTTGTGTACGGCCGTAAATACCATCTCCGAATTCCAATACCAAATATCTCAGTCATTTTTGTTGTACGAGAGTCATTCTTTAGAGTTTTATTCTTTTTATAACGAGCAAAAAATTTATTTCCTAAGTATAAGTTTAGGAACTGGAACAATCAATAAAAAGTTATATTTCGTAAGTTTTACAAAAATCATAGCTTTAAATTTAAAAGTGCCAAAACATGAATATTTGCATCATTAAAACCTTTTAATTGGAAGTATATGTCTATACCAATGGTAATAAAAATAAAGGTCAGTAAGGATAATTGTGGACACTGTGTATAATAAATATAATATAACGTAATATAATAATAATAAAAATAATAATTCGCAACATTAGCCGATTTAGTAGCATCATTGCTTTCCACAATCATAGACACCCTCATACTCGGGATACGTTACGCTTTGACCGATTCCAGGATATGCAATATGCATGAATCTTCATACCTTACAACAATCTCTTTTTTTACCGTTATGGTAATCTTAATAATTTTCTACGCTTCTCATTAATTTTCTTAAAACTCATTGTTAATGAATTTACAAATAATTTAGAACGGGAAAACAAAAAATTAATTTAAAATTCAGAACTACGGAATTGGGTATTTACTAATTAATAGCAACAGGAGTACTGATGCACATGGGCTATCGATTTCACCACCTTCGCAAAGTTAGCCGATTAAGTATTATCTTTGTTTTGCCCAATCGTAGACACCCTCTTACTTCAGATTTTAGGTTTTATAGACACTTTCAGACTCGGGATACGGTATACAATAACCAGACCTCGGATAGGCATGGTATCTGCATGGTTTTGAACGACCTATTTTATCACCTTCATGGTAATTAATCCTTTTAACCTCCATTGCAATTAATCTAATGGTCATCTATTAATTTTCTTCGTTACTTGACTTTTTTCATTAATATTTCTAAAACTCATTGTAATGACTTCACAGATAATTTACAAGGAAAAAACTCAAAATTTCTTGAAAATTCAGAGTTACAACGCCGATTGTTTACTAAATAGTAGCAACGGCGTACTGACGCTCATGTGCAATCGCAGCCGTATTTCGAAAGAAGTAAACAAATGTAGTGGGCGCAGTCGTGACTCATCGAACTCGAACATCGAACATCTATTCGAACCAAATATACACAAAATAAAAATTTCCCCCTCCAAACAGGAAGTATACCAAGTTGGAGGTATTTCAAAGTGGATGTATACAAAAGTACCACAGTAAGTGATACTTTCTACATCTTGCGGATGAAGCGTGCTGTGGTAAGTTAATGAAACATAATGTTATGAAATGGAACATACTCTAAACTGAGTGGCGTAACAGCCCTAATGGGCCAAATCCTGCAGTGCCCGAAATCTGCTTTCTTAACCGTCGGCCCCGGGATGCGTAAGCATATGCCCTAAACGAGTGGTCAGCTTGTCACAGGACCTCCAGTGTTTAGTCCCCAAGTGAACTTCGTACTCATTTTATCGACCCAAGTGATGAAATGCAACATAAGAAGTCAAAATATGAAAAGATTACTGATATTTCTGACGTCAAAACAAAATTGAGAGCAAAGAAGCCTTAGAATATTGTAAAATTTTGCAAAGAAAACATTGCACGATGAAACTACTATTATCCGTATAAAACAGGACTACAACTGATCCAAACATTCAGAAAACTAGTTTGAGTCTTTTGTTTTATATGTTTTAATCTACATTTTATCTGGCCTTTAATTCCCATATCAAATATTACCATTATTTTAAAGCAAACTAGTCTTCCTTCCTTTCTTTCGCAGCTATGCTTTACTTTTCTCCCTGCAGGCAAAAAGACTTAGCAGGCGCAAAACAAGAGATATAACTTCTTTATATTTCTGTTAGATAATTGGGTTACCTTTTTTCTGTAGTATAAATATGTACGCATGATAATAAAAGCAAAGGAGCTTCCCCCGTTTGCGGTATTTTATTTGAAAAGAGATTAAACCGTTAAAAATATAAAATGCTTGAGGAGGAAAGAAGGGAGGGGTGAACTTATTTTCTGCGACATCATTAAAACAATGAACTGATTTTGATTTGCCTAATATACGATCCACTTTTATTTCAATTAGAGTAGATTAGTTTTATGTATTTAGACTTTGAAACTAAATGCAAAATTCCTTATTTCGTAAGGTTCCCGCCTTCCTAGCGTGCATTCGCTGTGTAGTGGTCAGCACACTGTGCCGGTATTTCAGAGGTCCGTGGTTCGATTCCCGGCGAAGGCGATTGCTAATTTTTCATCTCGTCTGCTTCCAAAAAAATACCTAATGTCTATGCAGTGGCACCCGAACTAAAAGGGTGTTGGATGATGATTCTCCTCAGCCAGGATTTGGCGATTGGGTCCCCTAGAGACTCCAGTCGCCCTTTAAAAGGGGGAGTATGTAAGGTTATATCACCCGCCTTCCTAGAGTGCCTTCGTGGTGTAGTGGTCAGCATACTGAGCCGAAATTTCAGAAGTCCGTGGTTCGATTCCCGGCGAAGGCGATTGCTAGTTTTTCATCTCGTCGGCTTCTACAAAAATACCTAATGTCTCTACAGGTTTTATTTTTATTCCACTAAAATTAAACAAAAAAAAGTACTTTTCCGTTTATGTAAAATAAAACGCATAACCTATTTCAGTTCTATGAAAATCAAAATAAGGTACTACTTTTATTTGATGTAAAATAAATATAACAAATTTAGTTATATAACTAGTAAGCACTAATGATTGTTTGAACTCTTTATTTGAAACCATTTTATGACTTTAACGAACATAGTCAAATAGGATCCTATGTGTGGCGTATTTAAGACAATGAAAATGTTAAAAATTATAAGTAAAACAGAAACGAGCTTAAAAATAATGTTAATTTAACATAGAAAGGAGGAAAAAATCCGAATAATACTAATAGCAATAGAAAGAAGAGTAAATACAGATGATTAAAAATAATTTTCAACTAAATATCCGGAATTGCATCAAATTTAGTTTATAGTTTTAAACAAAATACTGTGTTTTGTAGGAATTCATATGCATTCGCTGCAAAGATTTTAATCTAAAAGCAGACGAAAAATAATCTAGGAGACGACATGCCCTAACAGACTAATAATAATAACTTTCCTAATAATGTTTTCATCTAGCATTGCTAAAGTCGCAACTTCACTTGCCAATATCAAAAGATCTCGACAATCTGCAACTTGTTTGTGATCAATGCCTTTAGGAGTTCTCCGAAAACGGAGAAAATAACTTGGGAAAACGTCGTCTACAAAACATCTTAGTAAGGATAAGAAAGCAAGGGAAAAAACCTCGCAGTTCTAAGACATAATGAAGAAAATAAAGCGGTACGAAAACTCTGCAGTTTTGAAACGTTGTACAAAATATCGTAGTAAATAAACAAAGTATATGTAAATCGTCGCACGAATGATAACATCGCAAAGATGCGTTTTCTGCCTTTAAATTTTTCACGCAATGCTTTGCAAGCAAGTATCAAACAACAAAAATTAAATAATAATTCTGCCTCTATATTTCATACTTTTGTATTAATTAATAAGTGTTTATTGAAAAAGCAGAAAGGAAATTTAAGCATCCGCATCTGGAAATAAGCAAAAATTAATCCTGCATAGTTTAACAGAATGTTAAACTAACTATGCTATAACTATTAAAATTAATTATTAAACTGTTCAGTATTAAAAGTCCATTATTTAATTAATATCTTTTATAAACACGTATTAGTAGATTTTCGTGAAAAAATATAGTATTAAAAAGATTGAAAAGGATGCAAATACATAAGTTTAAAATTCTGTTAACCATTATAGTAGCATTAATGTTTTACTAACTTCTATATTTTTAATGCTTGTGCTTCTTGCTTGCGTTTTGAATAAACATTTGCTAATTAATACAAATACATGAAATATGGAAAAATTATAGAGGTAAAAATATTAGTTATTTGTTCTGTGTTCACAAACCATTACGGGGACAAGTTTTTTCATTCAGAAAACACAAGACTGCGATATTATCATCATGGGGGGATATGTAGGTGCTTTTTGTATCACAATATTT